TCAAATGATGAAGTAGCTCGTTTGACAAAAGAGAATGTTGATCTCAGGGCGCAAGTAGAGAACTTGAAAGTAGAACTGCTCAATGAGCAAAAGTCGACCAATGCCCGAATAGACCTAGTTCTCCAAACACTTGTTGCAGCCCTCCCAGCCCCCTAAGAACCCCTTCAGTGACCAGTTTCTGGAATGTTTCTTTTAAATTTTCTAGCTGATGTTTTGTTTTCTTTTTTTTGATGTGGTTGGGATGAAACAGTAATGCTCCCGTCTTAACAGTCCAATGTTGCCTTTGCTTAAAATCTTTGTCTATATAAAATTTATCCTCTTTTATTGTCTCATTGCTTGAATTTTAAATTATCTTCTCTATCATGTTGTGTGCACATATGTGGCATGAGTTAGCTAGGTTGGACTTCTTTATGTTGTTTGACTGTTTGTGTCTTTTTAATGATGCCAAAAGGGGGAATAAATAAAGTATCGAGATAAAGATAAAAGTCAGGGAGAACATGATTCCAAAAGGAAGGCATAAAGTCAGAGGGAACTTATGAGTTCCTGTTACTTTATCTGGTTCTCTTGCTCTAAATACACGTTATCAATGTTTAAGTTTCTCATCATCAAAAAGGGGGAAATTGATACGTTTTCAATGTCTTTGACTTATGTTTTGATGATCTAACAAACTTTGTCAAGGACCGGATAGGGAACCTGACACACTTGGGCTACACTGCAAGTTAATGGATTCCAGCTAAATGTGAACTGTTATAGCTTCAGGGGATAGAGAATCAAACAAGGACCTGATACCCTTGTGGTTTCCTCATAGCAGTACGAAGTCAATGGGACACGGCTGGAAGCGACGTGACTGACTGCATTGTTTCTGCCTGCACTGCACTGTTTCCAGTGGCCACTTATTCCTTGACCAACTAAAGTGCTTACATCATTTCAAGTGATGTCATCAAGGTGTATCAACAATGAGTTATATCAAAACATCACTTGAACACTTCAGTTTCTCATTCAAGCCTTTTGAAAAACAGAGAAATTAATTCTCACGAGCTTGAAGAACAAAGTTAAACGCTACTACGGACCAGTTCCTAAAGTTAGTATTTTGTTGTCCTTAGTTGTGTTGTAACTTTGTGATTGTTCTTATTGTATCTCCTAAGTTGCTTAGCAAGAAGCGTTGATTAGGAACCCTCTTGTAAAATCCGTAAACTCTTTGAGTTTTTGTTGTGACTAAGTTTAGTCATAAGTTAAAGTCTTTGTAACTAGAGAGTGACAAAGTGGCTTGTGGTAAGAGTATCACAAGTTAGTTGAGTTGAATTCTTTGTAATGGAGTCGTTACAAAGTGGCTTGTAATAGGTGTTTACAAGTTAGTGAAGTTGAAAGCCTACAGGTGTAGGTCGTGGTTTTTGTCCCCTTGAGTTGGGATTTTTACGTGAAAAATCCCGTGTCTTATTTACTTACTGTTTTATTAGCATTCTCAGTACAACCTCATAGAGGACCAGGTACTCTACTGTTTGGTGGACTCATACAAACTAACATTTACTGATTGTAGGTACTTTCTATTCAATTTCTAATTCATATTTGCAGTTAACTAAAGCGAGTGCAACCTCCACCATTGGCTCCACGGACTTCAATTCTAGAAGCACTCTTTCCCTAACAAGAGAACATCTTAAGGAAATAGGACACAAAATAATTGAATCAGAAGCATGAATAGAGTACCTTTGGGACGTAATCTGGATGGTATTATTCCACTCAGTACTGAATCATCTGGAGACTGGGAGTCAAACTTGAAAGGTACTGCACCATCATTAGCATATGTGAGAAAATGAATTAAAAGCAAAGATGGCCAAATACTGAACAGGGATAGAAGTATGATAATGTAGCAAACACAATTTTTCAAGCAAAGGGGAGGGAAAAAAAGGAAGTGCACAATTTATGTCTATAGACTGGCATCCTGGGCTGGAGCATGTGCAGACCTATATCAATCTTGCAATGGCTTTGAGAACAAAAAGCTCTGTGTAAATCATGAAACTGTCCACACATATTTCCAGGCTTGTAGAGGTTAAAGCAGTCTTCGGTCTTAAAAGAGTAATTCTGTGCTTCAAAATTTACAGCCTTTTTTGGTTTCTGAAGCAGCAGTGAAGCAAACAGAGACTTGGCCATTACAGATGCTCCAGAATCTTTACATATGCCACCAACTGCATGGGAACCATCTACTCTATGAAGCAGCAAGCAGACCACACATGAAACAACAAACAAAACAGATAAAACCTATATATAATGATGTAAAAATAGGTATGTTGTCCATATAAGATAGGGACCCTTGATAACTTTTAAAATAGGCAGACTAAGAACAGAGTGAGAAAATGCCCAAAACCTTCAAATAAGAATTGCTCTGTAAAAGGTAGATAAATAAAGCATGAAATAACATTAAGAGATGGACTACCCATGTAATGCTTCTATTTCCCTAGCCTCCAAAGAGAATGGTTTCTCATGTTCTGTAATATGCTTTGGTGCATAGAGCAAGTAAGCAAAGCAGTTCACATGTTTACTAAATGGCAACGACAAATTTCAGAGACAGCATACAAGTGCAGCAGTAGCTATAAATAAACCATGAAACAACATCAAGCAGAATGCGACCAAAGGACTACCCACAGGAACAGTTCCTCTTCCCAGCCCCAAAAAAGAAAATGCTTTCTCATGCCCTGGCCCATACTGCTAGTATTCACAAGTGTACTATAGGGTAGTACCAAATTTCATAGAGAACATATATAGACCAGCAGACAAGTTAGCTATAAGGATGAAATAACATCAAGGAGAATTGTAACCAATCAAATGGAAACAGACAGTTCCCCTCTCACTGGCGCCCCCAAAAGAAAATATTTTGCAATGAAGATGGAAAATACACTTAGCAAAGCTGTATATAAGTGTGCTAAGCATAGTAACAAATTTCACAGAGACACACATATAGAGAGACTGAGGACAGGTTCATGAGTTGCTAACCTGCATTTTTCGACCAATGGATGACGAAGGACTCCACATATATCACATGCATTCATAGTATCTTCATTATCAAATGTGCAAATGGGACAACGCCAAACCCCAGCATTAACCAACTCCTGTTTTGACCTTGTTTCTGGTGGCGTACCTGTAGAAAATTAATAAAACACATATTGAGTTCTTCAAAGTTCTCTAGCATTTAAGGGTGTCACTATTTCCAGGACCCAAGATCATGGTATTCAACCATAAACGTTTAACTATGCAAAGAAGAAATCTCATTGATATTTCCTGTGTTCTCTCATGTAACAGTCTAACTGGCTGAGAACTTAATGGTTCAACTGATTTATTTGTTATACCGATAAGCATAGTAGAAATAATAGTACTACTTGCAAGCTTAGTGTTGTGCGGAAAACATCGCATTAAGGACCTCAATATAAATGGTCAGGAAGTTGCATAGGATATCATTATCTGTAGAAGAGTACCAAAAATTTTGGGATATTCTAGCATGGAAGGTAAAAATTGAGACGCAGGGGATGTAACTTTTTGAGAGTCCTCCAAGAAGTTAAACAATCATATCTAAAGCCTGGAAATAGTTTAGAGTAGTTTTTTAAGTATTTTTATCCTTCTACGAATCCCAGTGAGTAGTACAGAGCAGCCCCACAGAACAACTACATGTTCTCCACCAACCTACTTCAAGAAACATAGTCAACAACGGAATGATAACCCATTAATGGTGGCTGTAACAGTTCAGAGAAAAATAACACTATACAGCAAGCCATTGCAGTTTAATGGACAATACTATGAATTTCTACCTTGCAGAAATGAGTTTGGAAGTAAATAAAATACTTCTATTCAAATATGACATCGACAAGGGTAAGTCAGCATTACAAAAAGTAATCTCAGTATGATTAATGCCTTCTGCTATTCTTGTTAGTTAAGGGTTTAAGGGGAGATGGAACGGAATTATGCAGCCCCGAGGTCTTAAGCATTGGGAATCTCTCAAGCTCCCTAGAAAGACTGAGGTACTCACCATCTTCCTCTGCATAACCATACCCATCATCATAGTCATAACCGTAATCTTCATAGTCATCAAAATCTTCCTCGTAATTAACTCCATAATTTACCTTACGAGGCATGGTGATCTTTCAGCTATGCCTAAAAATCATGTACTTGAATGGTCATTGTCTTAATAAATCAAAAACCAGAATATCAAAGCTGTGACATAAATGTGTAATCCCAGCAATTCCAACAGTAAAACAGAACAAAATTTTCCTTTATCACGCTGAAATAAAGTTGAATAAGAATGTAATTTACCTTGAAGGTGATGACTTCATTTGGAAAACATCTCCCAACTGATTTAAGGACCAGGAAATCCTATCCGGTCCGTGCAGAAAAATCCATGAAGTCCATGCAGAAGCCAGGAAGACCTTCTCTGTTTGTGCTGAGTGTGGGAGAAGAATATTAAAGTTTCCTGTCCAATCAAAGAAGTGACTACATTGGAGAAAAAAACAAATTAAGTTTATTCATAAAGTTCATCCTTTCTCTGCTCAACAAGTGACTCAGCTTTTCAATCCATTGAAACAAGCTCTCGGAAGTAAGATAGAAGAATTATGAATTCCAATAAATTTGCTTTACGAGTATGATTTTCAATGGATGAGCAATGTCATATACAAGGTATATCTGCCCGTTTCTGTGTTTATCCTAGTGTATGTATGGATGACTACACGACATGTTTCCTTCTACTGTTTGTTTCAATTCCTTGGAAGAGCCGCAAAGTTTAAGAGTTAACTAAGAGCCCCAATGGAGTAGAATCCAGCTAGCTCGCCACCTTAGTAGTTACAAAAGTATTAAGACCCAATGACCACTAGCACAGTAGACACATGAAACCCTTAAGGAGTTGTTTGGTTGCAAAGCGGGATATCCAAAGGATTGTTATCCCACATCGTTAATACCCCATTGTCTTAGCTTATACCCATAAAAACAAACATGGGATAAATAAAATACCAAATTCTATCACAGGATTATAATCCTAATCCCGATAACCAAACTACTGTTTAATATGTCAGAAAATATCTTCAGGAAAATAAGTAAGTCACTTTCTGAAAAATATTCCAGTGTTTGGTTTCAACAACAACAAACTCAATATAGTCCCACACGTGTTTGGTTAGTGAACAGAAAATATTTCAGTGTTAAAAAATTTGATAGTTTGATGAAATCTTTTAGTATTAAGGGGTTGATAAACCGTAGTGTCCGACCGTAAAAATTTGTCTAGCCAATGCAAGATCTAAGATAGTCCCTAAAGGACATAATTAGCTCAATGTATTTATTTTCCAGTAATGAAAATAGTAATATACTGAATAGCAAGAAAACACAATGCAGGGGTACTATAGGCCAGATATGTTGTGATTCAGTTTAATGCTCGGAGGGTAAAAAGGTATAGTAAGTAAAATTCAAATTAAACGACAAGAAGCAGAACCGCGTAACAAGTAATTAGGAAGAAACACACACTATTGACAGCATAAAATTACTAAATTTGAAGAGGGAAATCAACAATGGTTTGGGTTCAGACCTTTAGTAAAACAAGGGCGTCAGATGGTGAGCGGAGTATAAAGAATTTCGAATCGTAAGCTTACTGCTGTCAACTCCGGCCAAGAACAAGAATCAGAAAAATACAGTGTTCGAGAGGTGTGATTTTGCTGTAATCCCTGGACAAACCTTTCTTGCTTCCTTTATTTCGGTTTTATGCCTTTCTGTTTCTTTTAGTTTTGGGAAATTTCCTAAATACTGAACCACGGGTGAAAAAGGAGAATAGCGCGGTTAATTGAAAATAATTAAACTTTTGCTCTCAGTTATTAATAAATCTGGTCTTGTTCCTTATAATAGTTAGCCATATTTAATATTGTTGGGTCAAACGCACACGCAAGTATTGTCATGGGCTGCTTTCCAGACATGCCCCATGACCCCTTGGCCGCGCCCCATGGCGGCCTAGCAAGCCTCACAATGCCTAGCGCCATGGTCGGCCCCGTGGTCTTGGCTGCGCCAAGTGACAAGCGCGCATGTGCCTCTGTCGCCCCACCGATGCCTCTCGCCAGCGCCCAAGGGCTGGCCAATGACAACAGCATCGCGCGCCCTGACAATGCCGCGCGCGCAGATCCTGATGCCTCGCCAGCGCCCAGCTGCAGGCCCATTCCAGCAGCGCCTCGCGCACAGACCCTGATGCCAAGCACCAGTGCCCAGCCTCAGGCCAGCACATCAAGTGTCGCGCGCGCCCACAGCAACGCGCGCGCAGACCCGCAAGACAAAGATGCTGCCATCGGACTTAGTTTTTCCTTGTAATAATCTAAGTCCTTTTCATTGTAATCATAGACTAGTTTTCATCATTTTCATTTCAGTGTGCTTCTACAGCTTTATTAGGACTAGTCTTGTAATGTTGGTTTATTTTTTTTAAGCATTATTAAGGGGGACCAAACAATCAAACATTTCAATCAGCATTTTCTGGTGTCTCTCCCCCTCGACACCACATCATTGTAATCATCATTTTCATTCAGCAATAAAATCATCATCATCATTCAAAACCCAATTCTCTCTCAGCTTCCGCAATTGCCCACGACATTGGTTTTCCCGCACGGCACTGACAATCTAGTCTAGCGTGCGGCGAGGACCTCATTGGCGGACAGCAACCGCACTGACATCGGTTGCTTAGCCTTACGTTGCCCTTCCAAAGATCATCAGGAAGGCGTTGCGTAACAGTATACGCGATCATTAAGTAATAAAGTAATTAGAAGTCGGATGTCGAACCCACAAACACTTGTGATTAACTATTAACTAAATTAGATTATCCTAATTATCTAAACAATGATTAAATTTAGAAGTATTTGACTCTAGACTGATTAAAATAAAGAAAAAATAAATAGTGAACGTTGAACAAAAGAAGAGTAAATTTTTATGTTATCAATGTGATGAAAACGATCTATGATTATGGTCCTATTGTATTCTTCAATTGAATTGACTAATTAATTTATCTAGTTTATTGATTGACGGGGTTAATATTGCTCATAAGAATATGTCGAGTACTCGTCTATTCAAGCTAACCTTACGCTTATATGTCTATGGAATTAGAACTAACTGGAACAAATTTATAATTCATGTAAATGAACCAAGGAAAGCAATTAGGTATATGTCTATTCTAACCGAAAATTTGTTCCCCGATGCCCATGTTCAAGAACTTGCTCTACTCAATCCTATAAGCAATCTTGAATTCTCACTTTCAAGTTCAATTCTAGATTCATAGATAGTATTCAATTGGTGATCAAGCAATTAAATAATTAAGCGCAAGATTAAATAAATAAACTAATATGATAAATCAAGAAACCAAAATCAATATTCGAATAACAATAGTCTTGAAAGAACCACAACCCTAGAACGTGAAGTTTAACTCTGCATAGACATGGTAGCCAAATAACAAATCATACAAAGAAACATAAAAATTATTAAGTTTGGTGGAAAAAGATGAAACTCGGCCTTCACGGCAGCTCCTCGCTCTCCCTTGGTAGAATTCCCTTCAAAAGTATGTTAGATGACCTAATAAAAGGGGTGTTTTTGTCCTACATATTGCGTACAAAAGTCGTGGGCCAAAGTTTTCCTTTTTCTAATCTGACTCAGCTTCAGGGATTGATGCTGGGTATATGCTTCGCATCCACCTCGTTCTCCACTTCTTCAGCTCCGCATGCTAGCATCCACCCTTTGTTCCTCCATCTCTGATGTGCCCGGGTGCGTATGCTAAGGCAGATGCTATGGTCCGACTTCACTGCCAAGTTTACACGAAATATGATTTTTTTTCTAGGTTGGATGTGTCAATGCGACACATCCAACATCTCCTCCTCTAGCTAGAACACCTTTTCTTCATATTTTGCACCTCAAACACCCTAAATTATCACATATAACTCAATTAGTCATAAAATCGATAATTAAACCATGTTGGGCATTTTAAAGATCAAATAGCATCAAAAAGTAGTTAAAACATGAGTAAAGTAATATTAAAACATATAGAAATATGCCCAACATCAAACATTCAATTAATTAAAACATATATTTTGAATGAGAAATGTGATAGTTGGACTGATATGGAGCAAAAAGTAAGAATTTAACATTAAATATTAGCAATTAAAAATTTAGTGCTTATTCATTCGTTAAAATTATGAAGATTCATAAGCAAATAATTAAAGTTGCATAGATCAGTTTATGAAATGTCCCCCTAAGAGATAAGAAGTGTGTATGCTAATTAATTAAAGATTAAGTATATTTAATTAAACTAGTTTTTTGACACGTGTGTTGCACATGTATATCGAGTGAGGTACTATACGTTTTCGTAAAAGAATATCAATATTATTTAAATAAAATTTTAAGTAAATAGTTATGCATGAATAATAAAATATAAAGTTTTATTAAATAATCAATATTGGTGGTGAAAATCAATATGATTAAAAGTATTAGAAGAATTATTGATCAAAATGATATATGCGAGAATATAAATTAAAATTAAAATGTTATGCCAACCCAAGTTGATTGACACAACAGTGATAATAATTTTTCGACAAATACAATTGTAAAAATCAAATTAGTTCATAGTTTGTCTCACCATGTATAAAGAAAGACAACTAATATTTTTTACTTTAATATTTTATTAGTGACTGGACGTTAATTTTCATTGTCTCTTTTTGGTCCTATTCCTACATATCTTTGCTGATTTATCTTCTCTCAACTGCAATTGCATCAATATTTTCAAGTTCATGTCTTTCATGAGCAATTTTTATTTTTCTTAACTATCTTGACAAGAAAAGTGAACTCTTTGGATGTGTTTGGTATAACGGAAAATGTTTTCCATGGAAAATATTTTTCAAGAAAATATTTTCTTGAAAAATAAGTAGTAATTTTATTCATTTTTCAGTGTTTGATACGCAAATTAAGGAAAATGACTTCTCAAGAGTATTCATAAATAATTTAGATATAANATAATATTTAGCGGTAATAAAAAATACCTTTTACCAGCTTTTGTGACAATAACCGCTAAAGGCTTTAGCGACCCCAATATCAGCGACTAAACACCAATGGCCGGTAAAAGATATAACGGCTATTATTATTACCGCTAAAGCCAATTTGTATTGCCGCTAAAGGTCTTATATGTTGTGGTGTGTTAGTGTTAGTTATTAGTTAGTGGAGCAATTAGTACAACTAAGCAACAGTTGTAGAAGTTAGTTCGTTAGCTGATTTTATTTTCCTCATTTTGCTTTTGATTCTCGTTTGTATATAGTGGACACTCCACTCACTTTTGATTTTGAGTGAATTGAAAAATCTCCAGATTCTTCGTCTGTCTCTCTCTTCATCTCTTTCTTCGCTCTGACCTCCTATGGCATAGAGATTCAGATCTGTTCATCATCGAAGCTCAATTGAGCTTTGAGCTACTGTTTCATTGAGAATTCTAATATGGTATCAGAACGAGAAGCATGAATCTGGACTCGCCTCTCTGAATCTGTTAGTTCTAATTTCATCAGTCTCGATTTCAACTAGATCGCATACATGCAAGTTCATTTTTCATCAATTTCAAGCTATAATTGTGAAGAGGTTATATTATGTTTTTGAATCTGTAACCACTTGAAAATTGTTGTTAGATTTATAATCGCTAGATTTCAATCCTTAATTGTTTAGAAATTTTGTATTGAACGAGATGACTATTGTCGAAGACGATGATCAATCAACATCGTCTATGGCCGAGTCTCTTAATCAGTCAAGTGTTAATATCAGTAGTCCTTTGTACATGCATCCATCTCATAATCCATGTTAGTGAATAATAAGCTAGGATTTATCAACGGGGAATGCAAGAGGCCAGATCTTGATTCATCAAAATTTCGATTATGGGAGAGATGCGATGACATGGTCACTTTATGGATTCTGAATTCCTTAGCCAAAGAAATTGTAGATAGTGTTGAGTATGTAGTAGATGCAGCCAAATTGTGGAAAGAATTTGAAGATCGATATGATCAAACAAATGGAACAAAGATGTACCAGGTCCAAAAGGAAATCAATTATATATCCCAATGAGCCCTTGATATCGCTGGTTATTACACAGAGATAAAAAAAACTATGGGAGGAACTCAAAATTTGATTGCCAAATTTCATTGCACTTGTAATTGCATATGTGAAGCTAAGGAAAGCATGCACAAAGCTGAGCAGGATAGGAGGTTGATACAATTTCTCATGGGATTGAATGAGACATACACTGTGGTTCGAGGCAGTATATTGATGATGATTCCTCTTCCTACAATTACCCAAGACTTTTCTTTACTAATTCAAGAGGAAAGGCAGAGAGAAATCAAGCCAAGTGGTCATTTGGCTCTAGAATCATCAGCCTTGAGTGTTGGCACAAACAGAAGACCTAGATCGTTCAAGACAAACTATTCTCCTAGTAACAATCACAACAACAGGAACATACCTTTTTGTGATTATTGTAAGAGACCGGGGCACACCAAAGAGAAATGCTATAAGCTTTATGGATACCCTCAAAGTTTCAATAAGAATCAGATTCCAAATGTAAATCAAAACCAGACCTCCAATTTCAATCAAAATCCTAGGCAAAATTCCAACTACAATCAGAATAATAGGTTCAATACAGGAAATAGAGCAGTGGCTAATGCACATGTAGCAACTACTGACACACAACCTGCTGAGACTGAAAAATATGCTACTCGTGATAATGCTCAAAGTGTGAGTCTCACCCAAGAGGAATACATC